TGGACCCGCAGGGGGCGACACGCCCGCGGGAAGAAAGAAGTGGAGCCGGCAGCTATACGTGGGAGAAGTGGTGAGTCTTCCTAGAGAAAAGAAACAGAGACAGGAGGCCATCACCTTCTTTGATGATGACCTCCCAGAGGGCCCGTTACCCCATCGTGACGCCCTGGTGATTAAGATGGACGTCAACGATGTCATGGTCCACCGCATCTTAATCGACACAGGAAGCTCAGTCAATGTGATGTATTACGATGCATTCACCAAGTTAGGGATACCTAGGAACCAGCTCAAAGAAGTACGTACCCCACTCTCTGGATTTACGGGTGATTCAGTGGAGACAGAGGGGTCAGTGGTCTTACCAGTGGAGATAGGCACGAGCCCTAACATTCGCAAACTTGACGTAAAATTCATCGTGGTAAGACTCGCTTGTGCGCACAACAGCATATTGGGGAGGCCGGCACTGGAGGACCTCAAGGCCATAGTGTCGGTGGAACACTTGTGTATGAAGTTCCATACTCCGAATGGGATAGGAGTCGTCAGAGGAGACCAGCGAGCAGCCCGCAGTTGTTACGTAAAAGCATGCAAAAAGATTGGCAGAAAGGATCTACAAGTCCACACCATCTGCAAGGATGATCGATCGGGTATGGAGCTCAGAACATTTAGTTAGATATTATTAGTAATACTTTGTAGTCGTGGTCCGCCCAGACCTGTAAACAATATTTTGTAATCATGGTCTGCCCAGGTTACTTTGCTCAAATAAAAGGTTCTCAACACCACCTTCGATCAACCAAAAGCCGGCTGACGCTGCATTGTAAAAAAAATAAAAATAAAAATAAAATAATATAAAATAAAATAAAAAATAGAGAACCGAGTCCTCAGCCACGGGTTCGGCCGAAAAAAAATGCGCCTAAAAATAAAATAAAATAAAATAATGCACCTCGGTCGAAAAAAAAAAAAAAAGGGCCGGGCAACGCCTCAGCCACAGGCCGAGGCGCACGTCTCGGCCTTCTGGTCGAGGCGACGCCTCGGCCTTCTGGTCGAGGCGACGCCTCGGCCTCCTGGTCGAGGCCGCGCCTCGGCCAAGTGGCTGAGGCGACGCCTCGATCCAAAAAAAAAAAAAGAAAGCCGCCAGGCGCACGATTCGGCCAGGCCGAGGCACGCGTCTCGGCCATTGGCAGAGGCGCAGCACCTCGGCTTAGGGCTTGAGGCGCATGCCTCGGCCGGGGGCCTGAGGCGCACGCCTCAGCCAGGACGAGGCCCGCGTCTCGGCCACTGGCCGGGGCGGCGCCTCAGCCTGTCCGTAAAAAAGAAAAAAAAAAAAAGGCCAGAGCTCGCCTCGGCCACGATCGGTCGAGGCGACGCTTCGACCACGATTGGCCAAGGTGCACGCCTCGGCCACGATTGGTCGAGGCGACGCCTCAACCGCGATCGGCCAAGGCGACGCCTCGGCCACGGTCGACCGAGGCGCATGCCTCGGCCACGAGCGGTCGAGGCGGCGCCTCGGCCACGAACGTTCGGCCGGGGTGCACGCCTCGGTCACGATCGGTCGAGGCTACGCCTCGCCGTGATCGGCCGGAGGCACGCACCTCGGCCAGCCTAAGCCGCAGCCCGTCTCGGCCAACATAAAAAAAAAAAAAAAAAATTCATGTGTGATTTGGAAAATAAAATCACATACTCGGGATCAACCGTGATTGTGCACAATATCAAACAAATTCAGCCTTACTCCCAAGTCAACTCAAACACATCTGTAGACTCAGGAGTAGGGGGACTGGTGAAAGGATAATGGTGTTGGCACCCGACCCGGATCATAAGCAGCACCTGACCCAACACCATATTTAACCCGACATCGTGTGGAATTCCAACTGGCAGAACTCCAACGGGCAGAACACCAACGGGTGGAAACATTATGGCCATTCATTGCATTGAAGGGAGAGAATTAAAGCTGAGCGCCTCATTCATGATTCTTCATGCTATTGCCGTTAGCCTTAGCTCCCCAATTATGACTCTTCATGTTGTTACCGTTAGGACTTAGCATAAATAGAACTCCCCTCAGCTAGCAAGGGGGAGGACACATTGTATTTTCTATACTGAGACAATGGCAATACAACTATTGTTACTCTCTCACATAGCGTTATTATATTATTACCGGTAACATTATTACCGTCAGCTGGTTCAAACTATATTTTAAAATTTTATTTTTTTATTTTTAAAATAGTCTAAATTCAACAATAAATGTGTTTTATTATTATTATTATTATTATTATTATTATTATTATTATTATTATTATTATTATTATTATTATTATTATTATTATTATTATTATTATTTTAAGTTCGGATCATGAACCGATCGTTCTGGTTCGCGATTCTAATAAACTCTAAATATCGGGTTTTGATTTTAAATTGTAATCGGAATATTTCGGTTTGGTTGCTGCAGTGTCTGTTCGGTTTGAACCAAATCGTGGTCATAATTTGTTGGAAAAGAAAAATAAATGAAATATTTATTTTAAAGGTAAATATGTCCATTTAACATTTCAGGAAGAAAAACTATCACTTGAATAATTCATGGGAAAAATGTGTTATATACATATAATTTAGAGGGAAAAAGTGCAATTTTCCTGTGTGGTAAGTTTTAAAAACATTTTACATTTATTTGAGATTGATGAACTATAATATTGATTTATGGGAAATTTATTGTCGATATCTAATGGTACACTTTCAGTGAAATCTGGCTTTTAACCTTAGCCAACAAAGGAACAAAGGATCACAAGTAGATAATCCAACTTAGATTGTGACTATAACTTACTGTGTCAAATAAAATAAGAGAAAATATGTTTTTTTTTTGAAAGTTACTGGCTCTATTACATTGTAGTATCTATTCATATACTTTCTCAACCTACTGAAACACAAAGAACCAATAACGCCTTCACTGAGGTTTGAACTCATAATCTTCCAAATGGAAGTCCAACCCGGATACCATTAGACCACATAGTCCTGGTGAGAAAATATGTTTTTAGTTCATCAATTATGTAATATTAGTTACTTCATCACTGTTTTTTTCCCATCATTGTAAAAACTAAAAATACACCCTGACTTTTAAAAAATTTGTAATTTTTGTCTCTCAAGAAATGGAACCATAAACCTCCAATGTGATTTGGCCAATTTTCCATGTCTAATTAATAGGAGTTTTTGACAACACATATTGATGTTTTTTATTTTTAAATCAGAGGTTCACACTTTCCAAGTTCGATGAACAAAATTCATAACATTTTGTGAAGCTATAAGTGTATTAAAGGGTTTTTTTTTTCCCAACCACTAAAATATAGTAATTAAAACAACCAGAGTTAACCCATTGGGTGTAGTGATGAGATAGCGTAGATCTTTTCAAAATTAACCAAAGGTCTCAGGATCACTCTTTGGAAGTGTTTTGTCACTATTGAAGTTCTAGTTAGCATGAATCAGAGTTACATGATTATATGAAACACTTTTCTCCGACAAAAAAAACATAGGTATTTAATTTTTTTTTAAAAAAAAACATTTTTTTTGGGTCTTAGCATTACAATTTCTTTATTAAGATATTTTCTTAATATTTCCACCATACTAGGATGTCAATCGGGTCAGCCCGTTTGGCTTCAAGTTAATCCTGTCAGGCTTATTTGGTCTTTTTATTTTATTTTTTTATTTTTTTATTTTTGGTTGGGTTGGCCACTTGGCCCTAACCCTAAACATCGGGCATTTGGGCTTATCGGGCGAGCTGAACCACTGAACTAAAATTGAAAAGTGAGAGTGGGTACCCACATTTAGAGTCATCAAAATAGGGCCAACCCATTGCGAATTGGGATTGTTTAGCCAAGTTTTAGACGAGCCAGGTTGTATATTCCTCCGACCTTGTCAAACGCATTTAGCCCGTAAAGGCGTACCCGGGTTATACATGTTGGCCCGTGTAACTAGCTGACCAACCCATATAACCCTTACCCTTACCCTTACCCTTACCAATCGTTATATCATGCACCAGGGCGCACAATGCATTGTGCGCCTTGGCCCAAAACGACAGCGTTTTTATAAGTTGGTGGGGAGTTGACGCGACAGACACCAACTGTTCCTCCGTCCAATTCCGTAACAATTTTTTTTTAACACTTGTGTTTATGTGTATTATTTTTTTTGGGTATACCCAGGGTTTTCACCGTCGGACATAGTGACTAATCCCCTCGCTGAATTGTAGGCACCTCTTTTGGGTGGGACAGCTGGCCTGGAGATTTAAGGCTGCTCCATTCCCAAAGCCAATGATCGAACCCTAGACCTTTATGTGTATTATGTTAAGTGTTTATGTGTATTATGTATTATGTTAGATTATGTGTATTATGTTAGGAGTTTATGTGTATTCTACTATACAATTTTGTACATATGAAACAGAGATTTTTTTTTTAGAAGTTAATGGCAGAAACGAGAAACAGATACAAAACGACGTCGTTTTGGGTTAGGACACACAATCCTGGTGCACGATATAATTTGCCTACCCTTACCCCTATCTCACCCCAATTAAGTTTATTTAAATATTTTTAAATTTAAATAAGATTTGTATTAGAATTTAAAAGTACTGTTAATAGTAATAATTGAACTCTTAGGGTCCGTTTGGAAACTTAGAAAATGACTTGGGAGTTATTTTTCGATTTTTTATGTGTTTGTGTATTTAAGAAAAATAAATTCAAAGGAAAATATTCATTATGATCAAGCGAAAAAGGCCCACTTTGACAAAAAAAATGTCTTTCTAGATTTTTAGTCGGAAGATATTTTCCGGTATTCATCTTCTCTCTCATATCTTTTCAAACTAATTTCCGGATTATTATTACGATAGAGAAGTTAAATCTGTGTTCTATATTATTCAAGAAGAAGGTACAACATTTATATACAATAAGCTCAACAGAAAGGTAGCTGGAAAATAGAGAACCACCCCAAATATACTCTAACTATACCACAATAATCTAATAGCTCAATACTCCCCCTCAAGCTGACGGGGGACACGGGACCACGCCAAGCTTGAACCTTAGATCACTGAACCGAGACAAGGCAAGGGGTTTGGTAAATATGTCCGAAAGCTGATCATGAGTGGAGACAAAGTTCACTTTTAATCCCCCGGAGGCTACCTTATCCCGGACAAAATGGTAGTCTACCTCGACATGTTTAGTCCTTGCGTGGAACACCGGATTGGCACACAGGTATGTTGCACCCAAGTTATCGCACCAGAGGACCGGAACCGTTGGCGGATGCAAGCCTAGTTCGCACAAAAGAGACTGCACCCATGTTACCTCGGCTGCGGCATCGATAATTGCTTTATACTCGGCTTCAGTGGAAGAACGGGCAACGGTGCGTTGCTTCCTTGAGACCCAAGAGACAAGGTTGGGGCCAAGAAACACCGCGTAGCCCGTTGTTGACTTGCGATCAAGCGAGCAACCAGCCCAGTCAAAGTCGGAGAAGACATGCACAACTGGTGAGGACGTGGTCGTGAGACGAAGGCCTAAGTTCTGTGTTCCATGTATGTAACGCAACACCCGTTTGAGCGCTGCCCAGTGGTCCTTCGTTGGCTTGTGTATAAACTGACATAGACGTTTGACTACAAACGACAGGTCTGGTCGTGTAATTAGGAGATACATCAATGACCCAACGAGACGTCTATACGGCATGGGATCATCTAGAACAGGAGACTCAGTGGCGGTAATAGAGGTGACAAGGGACATCGGAGTTGACAACTGCTTACAGGACTCCATACCGGCTCTCCGAAGGAGTTCCGTCATATACCGCTGCTATGACAGCATCACGGTATCACGAACTTAAGATGCTTCGATCCCTAAGAAGAATCGTGGGATACCAAGGTCCCAAATGTGGAAAGTCGCGGATAACTTAGCTAGCACACCACTGATCATGTCGGGGTCGTTGCCTAGCAAGAGAAGGTCGTCGACGTAGACTAAGATATACGCCTGTATTTGCCCTGAATAAAAAATAAACAGTGAAATGTCCGTCTTTGACGGTCGGAACCCAATTTGCAACAAGAAATCATGCAATCTTTTAAACCATGCACGAGGGGCTTGTTTGAGTCCGTATAGTGACTGTTGTAGTTTGCATACATAATCTGGAAAATGGGGATTCGCGTAGCCGGGTGGCTGACGTCGTCAATGTGCCCGTTCAAAAAGGCATTATGTACGTCCAGTTGGTGCATGGACCACTTGTTAGACATGGCGTATGCCAGAAGTAGTCGGGTGGTGGTCGGTTTGACCACGTGACTGTATGTCTCGAAATAATCTTCGCCCGGGACTTGGTTGAACCCTTTGGCCACAAGACGGGCCTTATAGCGATCAATAGAACCGTCGGACTTGCGCTTTACGCGGAAGACCCATTTACACCCGATTACGTTCATGTCACGTTGAGCAGGAACGAGACACCAAGTCTGATTGTCTAGTAGTTTTGTTCATTCCATAAATAATTTGTGTACTACGTGTCAGATTGTGTTCTACCCGATTACCACCGACAATGTCTTCCTAGATTTTTAGTCGGAAGATATTTTCCAGTATTCATCTTCTCTCTCATCTCTTTTCAAACTAGTTTTCGAATTATTATTACTTCTACCACACTGCCATCACCACCAGTATATATATATATATATATATATATATATATATATATATATATATATATATATATATATATATATATATATATATATATATAGAAGTTTGTTCAAATGCGGCCGCACCCTCCTGTGCGACCGTTAGAAGAATATACCAATAATGTTAACAAAAGGCACCAATAGTGTAGGAAAATACACAACAATGAAATGTAAAAATATACAAAAAAATACACAACACATCCAAAAAAAATTAAAAATACACCATATAACTCTCCACCCCTAATGGTGCATTTCCGAACGTCGTGTGGTACTTTTAGTCATACCTAATGGTGTATTTTTGGCTAATTTGTGCGTTTTTTTTTTGTTGTGCATTTCCTAACGTTGTTGGTGTATATTTGCATAACTATTGGTGCAACCGCACGGGAAGGCGTGGCCACACCTGAACTCAACTCTCTCTCTCTCTCTCTCTCTCTCTCTCTCTCTCTCTCTCTATATATATATATATATATATATATATATATATATATATATATATATATATATATATATATATATATATATATATATATATATATACACACACACATTCGCATTCATATGAGTACACCCTTCCACATAAAAATTATAGAGAAATCTGAACTCTCCATTTAGAGGATGTGTGTGGCTGTGATTTTATGGTTTTTTTTTTTTTTTAATTCAAATAATTTTCAAAGAGGTAATTTGGTTTATTTACGCCTGTTTTAAATATGTATATTATTTTATATTGTTGTTATACATGATTTTAGATAAGAAATTTATGGTAGGTTTGGATTTTTTTTTAATTTTTTTTTTTTTTGCTGTGAAATTCTTTCTCTATTTTGCTTTGAAATTTTCTTTTTCTACATTTCTTTAATTCAACCAAGGACTCAAGTTTACTTTTGTGTTTTTTAATTTTTTATTATTTGAGTATAATATTATCTATATTTATGATTGACCTATGTGTAATTTTTGCAGGCAATGTACTGGTGTGCATTGTGACTTCCGTAGGTATGCATTTACACTGTCGTTCCTCGTTGTTGGGTTTTCATCGTATGTGTGCACTCTATATCTGGCAATTCGTGTATACAGGTCCGTTAACGGGTCGACACGAACACGATAAGGCTAAACACGGACACGACACGTTATGATTAACGGGTTTAAATTTTTAACACGAACACGATTTATTAACGGGTTAAATGGGTTGACACGATAAACACGTTTTGTTAACAGGTTTCAAGTCGTGTCGACACAATATGACACGAAACCCATTTAAACCCGCTATTTCTATTAATATATTTAAAAAACGAAAATTTAAAGTTAAGTTAAGTTCTTAAAAAAAAAAAAAAAAAAAAACTACCGTTCAACCCATCAAACAAACTAAAAAATATTCAATTCATAACATTCATAAAATGATAAAATAACATCCAAAAATCATAATTAAAGGAGTGTATACAAGTTTTTAGAATAAAATTGAACACAATAAAAATTCAAATTTTAAATTGTTGAACATCAATTAATTGATGTAAGATCTTGGCCCAATGTAGTAAATTCATATTTAGTCATGTTCATAATATCTTTTATAATCTCAATAGTGACAATGGTTCTTTCCTAAACAACAATGTTTCTTAGCGGGTTATAAACAGGTTTGGTAAACGGGTTCGTGTTAAGTGTTAACGGGTTAACCCGATAATATTAACGGGTTAAACGAGTTCTTAATAGGTTTGACAGGTTGACATGTTAAGACACGAAACATAACGGGTCCTTAGCGGGTCAACCCGTTAACGACCCGAGACACGTTAAGGCTAAACACTAACCCGTTATTTTCGTGTCGTGTTAACGGGTCGTGTCCATAATTGCCAGGTGTATGTGCACATCATCGTACCCTAATAGGAGTGTTCGATCAGTTAACCGTTCGTTTAACCAAACCGTTTTAATCGAAATTTTTAAAGCTTTAACCGTTAATCGAATCAAACTTTATATTAACGAATTAACCGAACCGATGTTTTTTTTTCAATTAATCGGTTAACCGAACTTTTTAAACTAAAATTTTAAATCCTAAAAATAATACCTATAATAAATAAATAAATAAATTAATTAATTAAAATTAAAATAATACATAATACATAATACATATATAATAATAATAAATCTATAAGAAAATATACAAAAACAATATCATAACACTATTACAAATTTATAGGGATTTTACCTATTAGAGTATATATATATATTTAAAATTTCAATTAACCGTTCAATTAATTCAATTAACTAATTAAGACTATTTTAACCCTATTTAGTAAAATAGTTAACTTATCAACCATTTTTGATTTAAGTAACCACTATTAGCTGTATGACTTGGTTAAAAATCAATATAAATATTTAGTTAATCAACTTTTTGTAACTCCAAAGTGCTAAAATTCAAAAAGCTGCTCAAAGTAACTTTTTCAATTAGCTAATTTACCAAACATCTTTTTACAATCAGCTAATGTTATCAACTAGTCATACCCTCTAACCCAATCAGCTAACAGTCATTTACTAAATAGGGCCAATATTACCCATGACTGTATAATGAACGATATAGAAAATAATTATCATGATAATCATTATTTTTAACCAAAATTTCACATATTAAGAATTAAGAATGTGTTAAAATGTTGAGACAAGTAAAACAGTTTATTAGTGTATCTAGAACGAAAATCAAATGGTCTAAAAGAAATTAAAAATTAAACCATGAAATCAACTAATTCAGAGACATGACACGTTACACAAATCACATCACATAATTTAAGATACGGTGCCAAAAACTTGACACATTTGATGATCCTAGATATGATGAAACCAGAACGACAATGCCACCATTCAAATAGTTTAGATTTGTTGACACTACAAAGGATGAGAGCATCAATTATGCGCAGAGAAGAGAGTTTTGGTACATACTAATACCATTGCTCAACTTAAAAAGTGGATTGCGCACACAATTGCAATCAGAAAACGTAGTCTGGCAACTGAAGAGGAAATCTTGCCACTTCGACTTCAAATGGACTGCCTTTTGGCTCTGCTAATCTGAGAATTTAAAAAAAAAAAAAAAAAAAAAAGTATTAATTTTAACAATGAATTTTAGGAACTCAAAATGTTCAAATATCCAAAACAATGTGTTTTGTCAATATTGCATGTAAGAGAACAAACCCAACTCAATATTTGAAATTCTAAACCTAACCCAAAGTTCATTCACCCATGACCATCCATTTGAAAAGCTTAGAAATTTGAATAATAATTACATATTCATGATGTTACAACTTACTAGTGTGAATTCAGGCAGAACCCACTTCCCGGTAAAACAAAGAAATGAACCAAGCAATCAAGATATACTCTTGATCAAGGTCGTGTACTCGTGTCGATCGAAAAAGATTCCTATAAACTTCTAAGCAATGAGCAATACTATAACAAGACTTTGCACACTGCCTAAAACAGACAGGGGCCCTGGCCTCCTACTAAAGAGGTTCCTCAGACAAGGAAGATTAAATATTTTCCTATTTGCTTAATTTTTATTCCTTTGTGTGTGGTACAAATACATTACCCTTTAAACAAACATATAGTTACATACTATGCAAAGTGCCTTCATTCAAATATAACCAGGAGAAGAGCTTTATATATCAAGGCAAAATTTTACAGTGGACGATGGTCCACGTAGCAGCGTGGACCATGAAGTAGGTATCATTCTAATTACACTTCAATTCCATTTGACAATATTGCTCTGTTTTTCAGTTTCATTTTCCACACACACTAGTTTCATTATAGCAGCACTTAAGTATCATTTTAATTATACTACAATTTCATTTGACAATATACGTTATTGAATGAGCTTTGTTTTTTAGTTTCATTTTCCACACACACTAGTTTCATTATAGCAACACTAAAGTATCATTTTAATTCTATTACAGTTTCAGTCGACGACCATGATCCACATGGCACTGTGTGGACCATGGTCCGCGGTATAACAACTGATATATCAAATGGGTATGAATAATTGGAAAAATAAACCAAGAGAAAGCATCTGGTAGAAAGAAAAGGGTGCAGGATGGGAGGGGAGGAACAAAGAAACAAAATCCGCGATTTAAATAATTCATTCTCTAGATCCCACCAGCAATAACATGAGTAACAGCATTTATAATTGGCGGAAAAGGATGGAAATAGATATTATAATGCATGTCCAGGCAGACTAGGGGAACAGTATGTCAAGATCAGAAAATAAAACAGAACTCATTTCAGTAGACAAAGAACTTTAGATATAGGCTGCTGAAATGTCTTGAAGACTTACCGTCCAGGGACAAAAGTGAAAGAACCTTCAATTGAACCTGATGAAGACGATAGAGGTGTGCAGCTCTCATATACAAACTCTTCTTCACCAGGCCGTAGAAGTGGAAACTGCAATTAGCTGGGGGTAATTAGAGAGTAATTGCAGAACTTACAAGATATATGAGAGAGCAATATATTTAATACAACTACTGATGCATCAAAAGAAACAAAATGTGAAAAAAGACATGGTCAGAGAGCCAGTAATTACAGTACATATCTTAAAAATGGGATGCCTTAGATTTGCTTCAGACAAGGTCATAACCACATTAGCATCTTGTTATATATTAGTCCCAGTCCTGTTTTTTCTTCCTCAAAACGTGCGTAGAATTTTGCCCAGTTCATCCAGGGTACATGGCTCTCTTAAAAGAATAATCCTATGCCACTTCTCAGCTCACTAAGCCAACAACCATATGATAAGTGATAACACATATTGACATACATATGGAATGTGGAGATGGTAGACAATGTAGGCTTAATCAAAATGACTTGCATACACCACAAGAAAAGGGGAAAAAACACAGCTTACAGTACCTTCAAATCCCTCTATTATTATTAAACTGTTATAGTTATGAAAGGTGAGTAATTTTTCATTCTTTCAATGCTTCACCAAAGTGAAGCAAATATTTTGCTTCACTTTGTTGCTTTAAGCAACAAAGCACTCACTTTCCACACATGAGAATTACATTGCATGACTCCTTAGATTCATTCAAAAAAGAATGTTCAAAGGACCAACATATTGGTTCACTAATTGCATGATAGTTAAAGATGAACTTGTTCAAGCATATTCACCAAAGTCAAATGAATATCACCATTTCACAAGATCATGAAATGATGTACTCCGTATATAATTGCCATTTGATGCTCAAGAGTAGAAACCTTAATGAAATAACTAAAAATGAAAATAAAAAAAGTAACCATACCTTTCCTATTACTGCTTCTCCACTAATATCATCTACAATAGCATCATTGGCACGGATGATCCATCGTCTACGATACAATTGGCAAGAACTAAACTTCATTCCATTTAAGATGCATCCTTCAGGTGAAAGGGACATGCGGATAGAATATGCAAACATATATTTCTCAGAATCATGTTCAAGGTTGCAGCACTCTGGGACAAGCACAGCAGATGCACGAACCTGGTATAAATATCTCAGATTTCTCATACAAATAGTTAGAACACAGTGATAATAGACAATGATTACTTGTTTAGACTATAATGTAAAGGCAAGATCAGCACCTTCACACCATTCGTCATAGCAGTGGAACAAAGTGGAGGTTCTTCTGGAAAATGACTGATGCTTCTAGTGCACTCTTCTGTTCGAACCTTGACAATTCCATTTTCCAAACGTCGGCCATATTCTTCTAGCCACAGTAACATGGCATCTTGTTGTTGGCTGCCTTTTGTATCGTGTACAGAACATAACAACGACTCTGGTACACAAGGAAGCGTTTCTCCGCCAATAGACCGATCCCAGGTACCCACATGGAGTTGACCGGTTGAACAGTTCAAGTAAAATATCTTTCCATAAGCTGTGATAGAAGCTGCTACAAGAATATACTTTGGTCTGGTGCCAAGTCCCAAGTAACGCATATTGTTCTTAGTTTCAACTATTACTTGACTTAAAGAAAACAAGGAAACATTTACCAGATGGTTATAGAAAGAGTACCCCCCAATCAAGCCCAACAAGTTCATAGGTTCATTTTCAGTTGAGCTTCCAGTGAACTCATCATCACTCAGTTCTTGACCATCACAAAACCGGTATAGAACCCTAGTGGGAAGAGGCAATTTTACTTTTAAACACTCCTCCAAGTAATTTATTTGATCCTCGGAAGCACCTTTGCGTAAGGTAGGCAAAACCTCAGGGAAGTTAATCTCCATCCAGCTTCTAATTCTGCTCCAACATCTTTTGGCTCTTATAACCAAGGTCCATGGATACATATTGAATGCTTCCCTCCATGTTTGATAAGATACCTAAAAGACACACATAAAAGCATGACAGATGCTATTGACACTTTGTACAATAAGAGAGTTCAAGTGTGAACCATCAACTAAGAGGAAATGCTTTTTGAAAGTAATGACTGTTGGTTAAAGAGGGAAGAAAAAATTAATAAAAATAAAAATAAAACTCTGGCTATTATGGTAAAGGTGTTAGAAATTCTGAATTGTTTTTTTCTCAATTGAAAAATACAAGCCCTAATTTATACAAAGAAGAGGATTGATTATAGGGAAGAGAATCCTATAATCAAGGAAAGTAAATAAAAAGATCACTGAACTAGGGAAAGAATAAAATCATATCACTAATTACAGATCCTAAGAATATATGCATATCAATCTAATATTTTCACATATCAATTCTAATATTTCCACATATCAATTCTAATATTTCCACACTCCCCCTCAAGCTGAGTTGTATATATTATACAAGCCCAGCTTGGAATTGAATTCTTCAAAGCTCCTTCTAGGTAGAGCCTTCGTAAGGATGTCGGCAATCTGTTTCTTTGTAGGAATGTAGTTGAGTTCAATGATCCTCGAATTCACCTTCTCATAAATGAAGTGCCTGTCTATTTCAACGTGCTTTGTTCTATCGTGATGAACCGGGTTCTTAGCAATGCTGATGGCAACTTGACTATCACTGTACATTTTGAAAGATGTAGGAGCTTCAATTTTCAACTCATTCAACAACCTTTTAATCCACATCCCCTCACATATACCTAATGCCAGAGCACGATATTCTGATTCTGCACTACTCCGAGAGACAACTGACTGTTTTTTGCTGCGCCAAGTGACTAGATTTCCCCATACATAGGTACAGTAACCACTAATCGATCGTCTATCAGTCAACTCTCCAGCCCAACTAGAATCCGTGTAGACTTCTAGGTCTCGGTTGTCATGTTTTCTGAAGTGCAAACCAAGACCTGGTGTCATTTTGAGATACCTTAGAATACGATAAACAGCTTCCAAATGCTCCTCATTAGGGTTATGCATATGTTGACTTACAACACTAACAGAGAAAGCAATATCAGGTCTGGTGTGGGAGAGATAAATTAGTTTTCCCACTAATCTTTGATAGCTCCCCCTCTCTACTGGAATTGGTTCCCCACTCCGATTTGTTTTTAAGTTAGGGTCCATTGGAGTGTCTGCTGGCTTACTTCCAAGCATTCCAGTTTCGTTTAGAAGATCTAGGATGTACTTTCGCTGAGATATAACAATCCCTTCCTTAGATCGAGCTACCTCCATCCCAAGAAAGTATTTGAGGAATCCTAGATCTTTGATCTCAAATTCTGATGCAAGAAACTTCTTGAGGTTTGAAATCTCACCTAAATCATCTCCCGTTAGGATTATGTCATCCACATAGACAATGAGAATTGCTAGCTTTCCTGTTGAAGAGATTTTAACAAACAGGGTATGATCAGCTTGACACTGAGTGTATCCAAATTTTACAATTGACTTTGCAAACCTATCAAACCATGCCCGAGGTGATTGTTTCAAGCCATAGAGAGATTTTTGTAGTTTGCATACCAGTCGTCCATTGGAGTTCTTTTTCAAACCTGGTGGAATTTCCATATAAACTTCTTCTTCCAATTCTCCATTTAAGAATGCATTTTTTACATCCAGCTGATATAAAGGCCAATCACAATTCACAGCAAGTGATAACAGAACTCTTATTGTATTGAGTTTGGCAACAGGAGCAAAGGTCTCTTGATAGTCAACACCATATGATTGAGTGAACCCCTTGGCAACCAACCGAGCCTTGAATCTGTTGATACTCCCATCTGAATTATACTTGACAGTGAAAATCCACTTACATCCAACTGCATGTTTTCCTTGAGGTAACTCAACAAGACGCCATGTACCATTCTTCTCAAGAGCATTTATTTCCTCATTGACAGCAACCTTCCATTTGGGATCTCTTAGTGCCTCGTAGATGTTTGTGGGAATCTGGACAAGATCAAGAGAGGCAACAAAGGCTCGATACATAGGAGTTAATTTCCCATAAGCAACATACCTTTCTATTGGGTGACTAGTGCATGTTCTAACACCCTTTCGTTGAGCAATAGGCAAATCAAGATCATCAATAGCAGTAGATACCAACTCATGGGTCATAGAGTCCTTACCTTCATGATTTTCAAGGTCACGTAAGCTCGAATGTGTGTTTGAACAGTCCTGGCTTTGCATGTTAGCCTCTATATTTTGAAGTTTTCTCCTTCTATAAACACGGAGTTCTGGTGCTTGAGGAGGTGAATTTGGTAGAGTGTTTTCTGAGGATGGATGGTTGTTTATTAGAGGCGAAGATGGGTTGATTGTAGGAAGAGAGGATGACGGCTGATTGACCATGTTTTCTGGAGTCACATATGATGAAAGAGGTAATAGAGAACTGGATGATGTAGGTGATAAATCAGGTTGAGTTGGAGTAGGTTGATGCTGGTATGGTAGGACATTAGGTGAAGGAAAGGTAGCCTGATTATCTTGAAGTGTTTCCCAAAGTTGATATTTGCTCAAATGCTCCCCCTGAATACCAGATTTGGGAAAGAATGATTGGTGTTCAAAAAAGGTGACATCCAAAGTATAATAAACTCTTTTTGTGATTGGAGAGTAACATTTGTACCCCTTTTGAGTATTAGAATACCCAATGAACATGCATTTGTGTGATTTGGGGTCAAGTTTTGTTCTTTTGTGATCATAGATATGGACAAAAGCAGTACAACCAAAAATTTTGAGTGGCAAGTCCGAGGAAAAAACTGAGAGGTGAGGGAATGCTTGTAGTAACAAGGAGCGTGGTGTCTTGAACTTTAAGACACTACTAGGCATACGGTTTATGAGGTAAGTGGCAGTAAGTACAGCTTCTCCCCAAAAGTGTTTAGGCACATGATTTGAAAACATGATGGACCGAGAGACTTCAAGGAGGTGCCTATTTTTTCTCTCAGCCACTCCATTTTGCTGAGGGGTGTTGACACAGGAACTAATATGGACAATTCCCTGATCTAACAAGTATGGACCAAGAATTGAGTTGTAGTATTCTGTCCCATTATCAGTTTTCAAAACTTTAACTTTTTGTTTGAACTGATTTTGAATCATGGAATGAAAAGCTTTAAAAATTGATGCAGTTTCTGATTTTTCTTTCATGAGGAAAGTCCATGTGGTCCTAGTGTGGTCATCAATGAAGGATACAAACCATCTAGAACCATTAACATTTTTCACCCTTGAAGACCCCCAAATGTCACTATGTATCAACGAAAAAGGTTGAGAAGGTTTGTAAGGATTGCTTGAATAAATACTTCGAGTATGTTTTGCAAGTTGACACACTTCGCAATGAAAAAACTTGGGTTTTTTATTGATAAATAAACCAGGAAATAGTTTTTCAAGATAAACAAAATTTGGATGTCCAAGGCGAAAATGCCACAACATGACTAGACTCTCATTGGAGACAGAAACAGAATTGAAACCATAATTTGACTTGGGGAAATGTTTATTTTCAGGAGTGTTTATTAGAATATAGAGACCATCGCAAATTTCAGCACTGCCAATCACCTTCTCCGAGCCCACAACCTGAAATTCACAAAGCTTAGGATAGAATTTAGTTACACAATTCATGTCTCTAGTGAGTTTACTGATGGAAAGAAGGTTGCAACTTAATTTAGGAACAAAGAGAACAGATGAAAGAAAAAGTTCATCAGTTAATTTGACGGATCCTGTTCCTATCACGTTAGAGAGGGATCCATCAGCAATTCTGATCGTGGTGGGATTGGTACAAGGTTTGAATGTATGAAAAACCTTTAAATCACCTGACATATGGTCGGATGCCCCGGAATCCACAATCCAAGGACTTGTGTTATTGGAATTTGTAGCAAATGCGTGAGAAGTGGTACCTTGATGACTCATCATACTAACATGTGCTTCAGCGGAAGGTGGGATTGACTGTTGTGCAACAGATATCTGCCCAAAAAGCTTTTGTAGCGCCTCAAGCTGAATTTTTGAGAAAGGACTGACTTCATTTGGTGATGTTTAAGAGGTTGCAGCCACATTAGCACGGGATTGATCAGTACGGGGTTTGGGTTTCCAATCAGCAGGCAGGTAGTTGTGGCCGTTGAGCTTATGAGAGGTGATTGGGAGAGGAGAACTATCAAGGACTTGAGGAAGGTTAGGATGATTTGTGACAGTCGAGTGAGAAGGATGTGATGACCCATCTAAAGGTGAGGAATCAACTGGAAGGGTTTCAATAGGTTTAGACATAGTTGCTGGAGAGATTTGGTGAGGGAGGATAGAGAAGAGCTAGGGGTTTAGAGTCAGGCTCTGATACCATGTTAGAAATTCTGAATTGTTTTTTTTCTCAATTGAAAAATACAAGCCCTAATTTATACAAAGAAGAGGATTGATTATAGGGAAGAGAATCCTATAATCAAGGAAAGTAAATAAAAAGATCACTGAACTAGGGAAAGAATAAAATCATATCACTAATTACAGATCCTAAGAATATATGCATATCAATCTAATATTTTCACATATCAATTCTAATATTTCCACATATCAATTCTAATATTTCCACAAAAGGAAGCTCATGTAACATAAACACCTGTATGTGTGTGTGTGTCTGCCACAAAGAATGCCTTCCAAGATGCAAAAAAGAGCCAATGGCCAAAGCCCACACACCAGCCACAACACTTAATAGACACTTGAATGGGGCAATTAAGGTAAAGGAAGCTCTAGTAACAAAGACACCTGTGTGTGTGTGTAGAGGCAAAAAAGGATACCCTATCTGCCACAAAGAATGCCTTCCAGGATGCAAAAAAGAACCAACAATTGCCAAAGCACACACACCAGCCACAATACTTAATAAACCACCCACTAACACTTCTCCCAGCCACAAGACCTTCCCAACTGACCCACACCACAGACCAGAAAGCAATTCCTTTACAAGACTTGCTGGAACTATCTACCCACATTTGAAAAACACCTCAACCCAAAACCTGAATCCATACCAGAACCCATGTTACATCATGGGAACAAAAACTAAAAATAAAACAAAGATAACAGGGTAAAAAAGGAGAAGGGGTTACTGTAGGCAAAGAAAAGCCTCCAGCAGCCCAAGAAGAAGAAATTAGTAGAGGCTTTATAAATAGGCAACAATGACAGTTTATAAAGACAAAGGGAAGAAAAAGAAAGTCTCCAAGTTCCTAGCTTAAGATAAACACTTCAAAACATCATAAAAGAAATACAAATAACTGAATAAGTCAAAAGAAAGCTATAGTGCTCCCTTTCATTACATATGAAGAAAAAGAAGCAAACGATAAATCATTTTACATTGCACAAATGCTCTCCTTAAAAACTGAAGTTGAGAAGTTATTAAGCACAATTCACAACTGAGTAAACAAGAGAACTGATTCAGATATGAGAGAAGAATATGTTGTTTCTTTTACTGTTATATTAGAGAGAAGAATATGTCATTTCTTATGGTACAACAGATTGCCTTAAAGCTTGACAAGTTGCTAAAGGGTATACCCAGATATTTGGCCTAAATTACAATGAGACCTTTTCTCGTGTGGCTACAATTGCTTCTATTTGCTTGGTTTTATCTACTGCTATTGAGTCACTGGTGACTGGCTACAATATCAATTGAATATGAATGCTTCTCTCCATGGAGACCTTTAGGAAGAAGTTTATATGGAGCAACTCTGTCAGGCTTTGTTGTCCCTGTATGGTTTAGAAGCAGTTCCCATGGGCTTGGTTTGGGCAGCTGATTTTCAAAAAATGATTTGGGCATTGAAGTGGCCTGATACAATAGTAGTACAATTATTTCATAGTTGAAATATGCCTTGGACATTCTTAAGGAGACTAGCATGATCAACTTGATGCTTGTTGATATGTCTATGGCTTCTAATGCCAAACCTGCACCATATCCTATCATGAATGATATAGGAGACCTATTGGAAAATTGAACTACCTCACCATCACTCACCCCAATATCTCTTCTATTTTGAGCTTGATAAGCCAATTTCTTCAACTTCCTTTTGATAGAAATTGAAGGACGTGTTCCATCTCAATTTAAAGCATAAGCTGATAGTTGGACTACACAGTTATGTTTTAAATATTATTTGCTCAACATGCCCCTCACGTGTGCTAGCCAATTACCTTTTCATGGGCCACATGCAATGCTTGTACATAGTAGGGTGACAGAAAGGTTCAAATCATGACTAAAATGTCAAGTTGAAACATGTATTCTATCTCAACTAAAAATATAAGTTGATAGTCGGACTAACATTTGTGTTTTATATGTTATATGTTCAAGTTCAACAATAGCCATTGGGACTTTGTTACTCATATCTTGAGGTACATCAAGAGAGCATTGGTGCCAAGATTACTTTATGAGTATAGAAGTCATACACAATTTATTGGGCACTCTAACGACGGAAAATTTCTCCTTCTAACAGGCACTCCACCCTCAAATACTATGTTTTCATAGGTGGTAACCTGCTATATTGGAAAAGTAAGAAATAAGTTGTTGTCCCTAGATCCAATACTGAAACCGAGTACTGTGCTATGAACCTAGTAACATGTGACCATATGTGGCTGAAACACTTGCTCTGGGAATTACAATATGGTGATGTACCACAAATGAAACTAATATGTGATAACCAAGCAACAGCACAAACAGAACCAAATCCCGTGTTTCATGAAAGGGCAAAACATGTAGAAGTTAATTTTCATTGCAACAGGAAAAAGATCTTGTCAGGATGTATTGCTAAGAGTTTTGCCATACGATCTATATGCTCTAGCTTAAGATATTGAATATAATATCCTAACCCTAGTAGTCTAAGAATTTGAAATAGCCCAGTACACCTCTACCTTTATGTATAAAATAGGACATTGTACATGCCTTCTCTATAACATAAGACCTTACCACAAGAAATGCAGAAAAGTTCAATCATAGTGAAAGTCTTCTCTTATAAAAAAATAAATAACAAATTGACAAATACAGCAAGATCGTAATAAAAGTAACGAGTGAATAGTAGTATCATGTGCCTAAAACATGTACCGTTCTTCCAAAACATTCAATTAAACGTGGAAAAATTGGAGAATTGAAAAATACTAGCAGTCTAGATTATAGAACCCTGTGCTCAAAAGACTGTCCTTTTGATTCGAGAACAGCTCAATTGAATGCCAAAATAATGAATTAGCGGTATATTACCCTGAAAGAGGGAGTGGGGTTTCCCCAAGGGTCCTGAGGAGAAGACAAGCCGAGTTCATCGGCGCAGAATTTGGACCAGAGGGAATCGTCGTCGGATACCCAATCCCTAAATCTCCGGCTGATGCAGGCCGTAGCGGCTACGTCTTCCGGCATGAGTTTCGATAGAATGATGTGAATCGCAAGCCCACCCACGCTCTCCAATCCCATCATTTCTTCTTCTTCTTCTTCTTCCTCTATCGCCGACGGAAAACAGGAAGAGTGATGATCAGGTAAGTGAAGACGACTGTTGAAGAGAGCGTCTGAAAAAGGATCGTTATTAAGAAATTCAGCTAATCGGCTTGAGTTGATAATAAGGAGTGTTTGATAACGTTACTACGTTACCAAAACTAGTATAGTATAGACTATAGAAGAAAGGGTCACTTGGTGAAACATGTGATTTATGGGGTTTATTTAGGGCTAGTTTTTTACGCGCTTTGCGTGAATGGAATAATGTCCAATAATTATTTTTAAATAAGTATTTTAAAATATATTAATACAATATTATATCAGAGATGTTCATGTATAGATAAATAAATATTGAATTTGTTTATTTAAATTGATAATTTAAAATATATAAATGCAAGATAATATATGAGAGGTTGATTATATTGTCACTAAAATAAATGTTTGTAACTTTATAATAATGCTAGTCTAAAAACGATAGTCTGAATAAATATTATTTTTTGTTTAAATTTCTCTAATTCTTCTTAATTCTTTTTTGGGTAGCATTGTCATTGTCTTCATCTTCTGTCCTTTTTTTTTTTTTAATCTTTTAATTTGTAGTGTGTCATGTGCAATTGGGTTACTGGTGGTAGCATAGATGGATTCATCGTGCAATGAGATTATGGTGTATGAAGCTTTAGATTTGTCTTGTTATGCATATGATGGGATTTTAGTTGTACTATTAACTCTTTATCATACAAGCTCCTATTGATATTTGGTAGTGGTAGTTTTTTCCCTATATGTATCATGCGTTGTGAGATGTGTGTCGAAAGTTATCATGTGATTATGTGAAAGTATTGAACAAATTAAAATATTAATATTTATTATATTTGTATAAATACTTGGTAAATAAATAAATAAATAAATAAATATATATATATATATATATATATATATATATATATATATATATATATATATATATATATATATATATGAACATATTTTGTATTATAACTTTGATATTTAATTACAAGATAATGTAAAAAGAAGTCAATGGACAATGTAGTGAATATAATAAATTAATAAACAAGATAATGTAAAAAGAAGACAATGAACCATGTAGTGAATATAATAAATTAATAAATTTGAAGGTAATGAATCTTTGAATTGTAGAAAATAAAGATAATATTACTAATGAAATTATATCTCTTTTTAAATTTTTTATAATGAATAATTTTTTTTAAATAAAGACATTATAGAGATCTAATTCTAAATTAATTAAATGCATATGTATTATTTTTTTGTTGTAGCTACTAATTTATTTAATTTAATAAGAATAATAAAGTGGCGTACATACTTTTCATCAATAATAATGAAATCATTGATTTTTTTTTTTAATTTACATTCGTTGTTGAGACAAATTGTTTTGAGAGTTTGTCCATTACAATTGTTACAATTTCTGTCAATAGAGGATGATAATAAATAATTCAAAATATATAGTTACAATAGATATTGTTATAATGATATAGTAAATATTAACTTACAAATTTCTTTAGAAGTTTTCATGTATTGATAAAATTGTGATGTGTAAACTTGTTCAATTGGAGCCAGTGGGATGTCAACATTGTCAATTCTTAGGAAAATGGTCCTACCGTTTTAGAGTCCAGGTGTAATTGTATTTATGATCAACAACTTGTAGTTAGGTCGCGCAGGTCTGACAATGATGTAAGAACAATTTTGTCCAATAAAAAAATAATAGTATAATATTTGTAAAGTAATGTACAATTGTACCACTATAAAAATACATACAAAAAATATTAATACCATAACGACCTAAATCATACCAATAATGCAAAAGTATAATTGAAATATTAAGTTTTGTTCTGATCTAAATAATCAAAAGAAGATTAATTAAACGAAAAAAAAAAAAAACTTAACCTAAATTTGTTTTTTTTTTTAAATGCATAAAACTCAAATGATTTTTAAAGTTTTTGATTTATAATCTTTGATGCTTAACTTTGAATGTTATGTATTTAGTCGGAGTAATTATTTGACCAAAGTTTATGTTAAATTTTATATTACGGAGTATATATTTGTTTAAATACATTTTAACATATTCGTAGTATATGTTTAACAATTATGCCAACTCTAATTGGGATGAGCTTCGAACCTAAGACCTTTCTTATAGAAATTAATGAGTAAGTTAAAAATAATAAATAGTTAATGGAATATTCCGTTACTAAAGTTTATACTAACGGAATTTAGGTTATTTAAGAGAAGAAAATAATATAATAGATGGTAAATAAGGAAAATCATTAAAAAAAATACTAAAATCAAAATAATATGAACAATTCATTTTAAGAAACAATACTACCGACATTTTTTTGTTCCAGTTAAGGGCCTAACATTATTGACTCTTATTAGAATTGTAGATAGATAATAATAGTTTTTCACGCGTTACGCGAATAAGATAATGTCCAATGATTATTTTTAAATTTTAAATAAGTACTCTAAAGTATATCAATGTAAGAGTATATAAGAGATATTTATGCATAGATAATTGAACTTTGAATTTGTTTATTTAAATCAGTAATTCAAAGTATATGGCAAGATAATATAGGAGAGATTGATTATAATTGTCACTCAAATAAATGTTTACAACTTTGTAATAACGGTAGTCTTAATACTTAGTCTAAAATGAAAGTCTAAATAAATACTACTTTTGGTTTAAATTTCTTTAAGTCTTCTTAATTCTCTTTTGGGTAGCATTTTCATTGTCTTCATATTCAGTACTTGTAATATTCTTTTTTATTGGTAGTGTTTCATGTGCAATTGTGTTACTAGTGGTAGCAATGTAGTATAGAGGGCAACGTCATGCAATAAAATTATGGTGTAGGAAGTTTTAAATTTGCCTTGCTGTGTATATGGGCATTGTCAATTCTTTGGACAATGGTCCTACCGTTTAGAGTCCAGGTGTAGTTGTATTTTTTATCAATAATTTTGTAGTTAGGTCGCGCAGGTCTGACAATGATGTAAGAACAATATTGTCCGTTAAAAAAATAATAGGTACAATATTTTGTTAAGAACACTTTGTAATAGATTTTGATGATATCAAACTTAGGAGTTTAGACCCTTAATTCTTTTTATTTCTTAGACTTAGGATAAGTCAACTCAACATTCAAATCTTAACCGAATGGTTACCCGAGTGACTAATTGTAACATCCGAATAGACACTCGAGGAGACAGTCTCCATGCCAAGTCTAGGAGTAATCCGAGGGGTTAACTCTCAGACGAAAGAAAGACAACGAGCTGAGAACCCAAGGGGTTAGTTATCTCTCAACAGCTCGAGACTAGTGTAATAAAAAATGAAATACTGAAAATGAAGATTCGAAGACGAAGACTTTCAAGATCGAGAGGTTGCAAAGACGGAATAGTGGAAGGGCCTGCCTCTTGTGTATTCAAGACCGAGTGATAAGACAAATCATTCGAGGAGTTACGGGACGATTGGTAAAGACAACCATCGTATCCGAGAGGACCTAAGGTTCGAGATATTAACTCAATTAACTACTCGATAGGACTGCTAGAAACATTCTCTGAGCGTAAATAGTTCGAAACCTAAAAAAGTGAGCAAATATGTCCTAAGGCAAGAGAGTCCTAAAAACATATCTCAAAACCGATTCTCCATTTAATGCTCGTCCTTTTGTGTAGAACAAAAAACAAATTAAAGTGTTCAGCGCATTTTAAGGATTCAACGGCTGGAAAATCTGACAACTCACCTACCTTCCGGATTACCCGCCAGTCTCTACCCGTTGGTCCATAGATTAATTTAAATTTATTTATTAAAATACTAACGTCATTGGTTTTTTTTTTTTTTTTTTTTTTTTCTATGGCTTAGATTAGATCTCCTCCCTGTAAAAGGACAGTTGTTTGCTTCACAAATACCTTCTTGTTGCAGATATTCAAAACAATGTTTAACCTATAAATGATGTTAAATGATGTACCCCGAATCGATCAACCTTCGCCCTCAAATTATTATCATATTCTTCTGCAAATTTGTTGGGCACCCAATCTATAAACTCTTGGCTATACAATGAAATATGCGCACTGCATGTGTCATAGTTATAGACTATGCCCAACATAATCATCAACTGTAAAAGAATTTTAATTTTCCTCTTGTGGGCTTAGAGTCCACAATTGTTGGTGTCATGGAATATCTTATGTAATTGTGTGCTCTGATACCACAAAATACCTTATGCAATCGTGGGCTCTTATACCACGAAATACCTTATACAATTAGGAGCATTAATGTTAGTAATTCATTTCCCAAAAAAAATAGAGCTGATCATCCTGTTGAGATACCTAACTGTTCACGGTAATTTTGATTCAATCACAGAGTCAGTATCTAATCTAGATGATCATTAAAATTTTCTTATCAAAAGATTAAAACCTATTGGGTTACCAGACACTGTGTGACATATGAGGAGGTAAGACATTTGCATATATATCCACATGATATATTTATTCCCGGTTCAGATTATCGTAGACAAAAGTCATTGATGTTGTCTATTGAATCAAATCTACAAACCATTTCTGCACTACCTCTTGTTTATGTTTTGGGCAATACTTGGACGGAAAAAGAGCACATACAAAAGTGGTTAGTCAATGTTTGAAACTTGAAATTTGTAATTGCTGATTTTTTCAGTATTTCAAAGAAGTGCAAAGCCTAGTGATTCACATGTGCGTTCTATGATATTTGGTTTTGAATACAAGTTAATTATGGACTGCGATGTCACATGGATCACAAACAACTATAGGTTGCTCAGAGTATTGAATTTTGAGAACATTAATGTTTGCAATTAATTTACTCAAGAAATAGAGTTGATGATTCTGTTGAGATGCCTAGCCATTCATAGTAATTTTGATTCCATCCCAATGAAACACATACACAAGAGGAAATTAATAGCCACCATAATCATCAATTCTAAAAGAATTTTAATTTTCCCTCTTGTTGGCTCAAAATCAACAATTGTTGGTGTCATGGAATACCTTATGCAATTGTGTGCTCTGATACCATGAAATACCTTATGCAATTGTGGGCTCTGTCGTGTGTGAATATTTACTCTATTTGTAAAAAGAAAATATTAAAATTA